AGTGGTTTCAGGAGATTGCTGGCTGTCGCTAATGTGAAATGAGTTATTCGGTGCTGCACTGATAACCTCCACATGACTGTTTTGCTTGCTTGCTCATAGTTTGTATGGAAAACTTACACACACTTGGCTGCAAACGGCAGCAAATGACTGCAAGTTGCGAAACTGTGGAAAGTGCGACACAAACTGATGAAGGAGTGTGGAGCTGTATAAAGAAAAATGAGGAGTGATACTGTATACTGCATCTTAATTGTTAAATAGTTACACTCACAATTATTATGATAACTCCCCTGACACATTCAGGGGACCAACACGCGAGTGTGCGTTCCAATTATTAATCTGTACGACAATAAATTTTATTCATGCTGGACGCTAAAATTAACTAGGCAATACCAAAATGAGAACTTAATTACATGACAAATGTAAATTTGATTTATGGTAATTATGCTGCAATCAGGCAACCTGAGCTGCAATGTGCAAGCAGCACCAAACTAATTCACCTGCCACTAAACTCATACATACAAATGAAGTTATCTTTAAAAAAAAAAGTATATGAACAGAGATTTAGGCAGCATGAAACAGATAGGGCAATATTACAAGCCTGGGTGCTTCAGGCCAATTAAAGTCATATACATGCATGTGCACGTGCACTCGTGCATATGATAAACTGTACATTTGCAATAACCATAAGTCACGTATAACCTCATATAAGTGAAGTTCATTCTCTGAAGCCAATATATGATGGATCTTGCAGAATAGCAGTTTAATGGTTTCACAACTTGCAGGAACTTTTGCATGACGGCACAATGTATGAAGATTCACGCCTGATGTCTTCACAACTTAAACGTCAGCTTTAAAAAAGGGGGAAAAAACAACCAAATGACTGAAACTACTAAATTAAAATAAGCTGGAGCTGAAAGGCATGCAAATTATGTGAATACGCACACACACACATACACACACACGTAAGATAAGAATACTGCACCAAGAGGCCCAAATAGCAGAGCACTTTAATCACAGAGTTCATTTCATTTCCTCTCCTCTCCTTTATCACTGGCTTGGTTCTTATTCATCTTCATAAGAAAGCAGAGGAAAGAGGAGCCAGCTCCCCTAATAGCTCACTGATTTACATGATGAGTGTTTAGCCCCATAGACAAACTCCTGAAAAAGAGGAACAGAGAAAAGGACACACAGAAACCTCCACACACTTTCTCTAATACACACATACACACACACACACGTATATAGAAGAATGTAATTTGATTTCATATTACTAAGACAAAGAATCAGAAGCAGATACACACATACACACTCATCTGTACCCAAACACACACAGACATAAAGAGAACAAACAAGGCATGCCCTGCTATAAACAGATGAGTTAGCACTCGCACACTGCTTTGCTTGTTTAGCGTGTAACTCAATTTGAAATGCTAACACTGCCATACGCTCAGGGGTATGCAGTGGCAGGCCAGCATCATCAGCCCACTTTCTAGTAATTTAACTCCACTCTTTCAACGCAGAACACTTGTGCAGTGGCCCCATATTTTACACACACTGAGTAAAATTAATTGGGAATTTTTTTGAGCACACATCATTTGCACGCTGGACCTACTTTGAATTGCAGATGAAGACGAAGGGGGGTAGCTGTAATGTAGCACGCCGTCTTTAAGTGCGTGACTGCATTCGGGTGCATTTTGTTTCTATTTCCGACTATCCAAAATGCGTGAACGCGTGTGTGTATGTGTGTTCTGTAGAGCTAGCAGGAGTAATAATGACCTCGCGCTCCCTTATTAGAATCAATCATCAGTTAGAGAGGTGGTGAGTTTGGGGGGGGGGGGGGGGGGGGGTAATGACAAGGATGAGGAAGATGATGCTAATGTAAATATGGACAGTGGACATGAAATGAAGCTGGCAGCCTCCAGTTTAACTGTGGAAACACTTAAACTATTTTTGTTGTATATTAGCTGTATATTAGCTTAACGGTGAAGTATCGATATTCAGCCATGCTCATACTAAAACTCGTGATACCATTAATCTCACACTAAAACTGGTCAACTAATTCGTTAAAAAAAGTTGGAGGTGGAACTGGTGATTAGGCCACAGTAATTTCGATTAAACTCAGTGAACAAGTTATGCAGGACTGACAGCGCCACATTTATGGTTGCTGGCTACCGACAATAACAGGTGGAACTCACAGCGAGGGCTCCCAATTAAAATCAAAATCAACCTTCCTGCTTGTAATTGCTTTTCCACCTTCGCATTGTGTGTGTACGGCGCGTGTGCACATGTTTGCCCGCGCGTGGACGTTTGCGAAGTTGGTACTAAATTTAACGACACTGAAATTTCACAGCCTGGTTTGGCTATTAGACTGGCTCCGAATATTGACTCTTTTAATCCAGTTTGTTATAATTTCAAGTGATCTTTATGGCTTCGTAAAAGTCAAAGAATAAATCCTGCACTTTCCTCCTTGAGTGTGTGTCGGTGGGGGCACCGTGTTTTATTTCTCCTGTGGATACCTGAGTACTTTGTGTTGCTGCAAAGATTAGACTGAGCGCCCAACTCCATCAATATCCATGACTCCTGTATTGCTCACAAACACACACATGCACGCGGTGATGGAGTGAGCGGAACAGACCTGACACGCTCGCTCACTGCTGAATGGGTTCTCTGATGGACTGAGGCTATTTAGTCACGCGCACACACGCACACACTCAGCTGGTGATGGAGTGAAGCCATTCCCTCTCCTCACCTCATGCCCAGTAGCTGGATGGTAGCCCAGTTAAGACTTGCCAATTGGCTCTTCCGCCAAATCAACCACACAAACTTTTCTGATGAGCTCAGTACTGTACACACACACACACACACTTTCTCACAAACACGCAGCTTCACACGGCAAGTATTGATTCCCCCTGTAGAGTCATACTGGACACTTTTCCTACAGTTTCACACTTTTCAAGTTTTTTGGTTTTTGAGGGGGGGGCGTTCTCATCCTTTTAAAATGTGGCGTCCTTTGTCATTTGACTTGCCCTTGAGCTTAGGCAGACCCTTAAATTCTCTCATCTCCACCTTTTAATTATCCTGCAGAAACTATTCCACTGTGGATTAATAATATATCATTCCTCTGATTGCTTACATTCTCTTGGTCATAAAATTATCAATTGCGAACTTATAAGAATTAAAAACATTGTAATCGGTTTCATTCTCTCATTAGATCTAAATATTACACATGTCCCTGTGAAACTGCTTCAGCTGACCTCTAATAAACTCTCAACAATAGTCACCTCACAGCACCTGGGTTTTAATCCACCAGCCGCCTGAGGCCTCTCTGTCTCCCTGCGCCTTTGTGGGTTCTCTCCGCGTACTCCAGCTTTCTCCTGCAGTCCAAAGGCCAAAGCTTTTTAGGTTAACTGGTTGCTGTAAATTGATGTGAATCGGTGTAAATGGTTGTCTGTCTCTTTGTGTTAGCCCGGTTACAGACTGGTGACCTGTCCAGGGTGTATGCCTCCTCTCACTCAATGACAGCCGTGATAGGCTACCTAAATTGGATAAGTGGAAGAAGATGAATGGGTGGATGGATTGATTCACAGAAACCATATAAATTGTACTAACCATGGCTTTAACAGAGCCTTATACTTTTGGTCAGACACACTGTTACCTGCTGATGCTATTTTGTGACTTAAAGAGCAGCATCTAAAGGATTCTTAAGGTGCGTCCACACAGGAAGTATTTCATGGCAGCCAGAGAGCAATGGAAGTCAATGAGATTCGATGATGGGTGAAATAACAGCTGGCACAGAGTGGGCAATGTCCCAGGTTTAATTTTCTCTACTTCAGTGCAAGCTACTAAAGCACATACCAGAGAGCAAAGGATACCACTGATTCACATATGACAGCATGGTAATTTCATTAGAGGGATATTTAGGTACCCGGAGTCTGGACTGTCTGCTGGTGATTGACCTTCAGTAATAAAGCAATGTGGGATGAGCATTTACCTTAAAACAAGCTTAAAGACTGGTTCTGTTCTGTTATGCGCCTGCATCTCAAGCACACAGGCCTTCAGTCTGGTGGTCGTGCAAAGGCTTTAAGGTGCAAGATACATCCACAACAAAAAAACTGCACAATTAATTTCTTCTTTCTTTCCACCCATCCTCTTCCACTTATCCAGTTCAGGGTTGGGGGGCTTGTCATAGGCCAATGCAATGCACAACTCCACTCAGAAAGGCCCCTTCTTGTTGTGAAGTGACAGTACTATGTGCTGTGCTGCCCTGCAAAATTTTCCAAAACTCTGGAACAAAGAAGTAAAAAGCTGTAGAAGAACAAGTGCCCCAGAGAAAGGCCAGTCAGGCAAAGGATGGGAGCCATCTCTTCTATCCTTGTTTACTGCCAGTTACTAATGAACTGCCTGCTTCTGGGTGAAAAACTGTACACACGAACATGATTAATATACAGTCAGATGCACTGCAAAATGAGGCAAAAAAAACAACAAAACGCATCCACTCAGCAGCCTCTTTAAGGTTTAGTTCACCGGTTACATCATCAGTTATCGATGCATGGACTGATGGATGGATTTTCTGATTTCACACAAGCAGTCATCCCCAGGTCAGTCCCATCTGCATTAGTGGCATGAACTTTTGATTACAAGGCACAGAACAACAGCAAAATCAAAGTATGGTGTCAAATACATAAAGCCTAAAAATCTGCATTGGCAATGACTGGAAGAGTGACTCTGAGAACACCAGTAAATGCTGTCTCGACTCTTACTCACTTTTGTATTAGAACACAGAACAACCTCAAAAAAATAATTACTGTAATCTCACGAAGTATCTTTTTCTAAGCATTATTGGTGAGAAAAATCACAGAACTGGGAGCAATTTAAATGTTTTCATTCTTTGCAGATATGAAACGCATTCATGACGACTTACTGTCACACACTACACAATCCTAAGGGATAAAAATAAAATGTCCAAACGCTACAATTCAGTAGTGTTTTTATTTTTCTTCTACTCATTTGGCACACATGTTGTAGTTTCTTTAGCGAAACCATTACAGTGTATTTTTTTAAAGTAAGCAAACTATTCATTCTTTCAAGTACTTATTCAGTCCAGGAATAAAACAACTGTAATCATGTAGAACTCAAATCAGCTAAATAAAGTTCCTCTTGCAACCACTTTAGTTTCTCTTTTGTCTCTTTTGGCCTTTTTCTGATCCTTTATCCCCAGTTGTCCTCGCTCTGCAGGAGAGTCGTGTCCTTGGTTAACATTAGTCTCGCTGCTTGCCAGAGGTGATCTCTAGTCCGGTGTTTTCTTGCCTTTCTCGGTCACTCTGGTCCTGCTCCGTTTCCTGTTGCGTTCCAGGTCTCTCCAAACACCAAGGATCACTCTACAGATCATGCACAGCACTGATGAGCAGAATATTCGAGTGTGTTGTGTTGCAAGATGACCTTGCAGCCCCAAGAATTTTCCACTGAATTGATAAGAGTATTCTGGATTTTGACACTAGAGTTTGCAGGATTATTATTAATTGTGTTATTGTCTGTATTTTCTCATGGCTGTAAAATTATATGTATTGTTTGCAGAACCTGAGAAATACTGAACAATGTTATCTAATGAGGCTTCGTGAATTAATAAAATGTAGCACAATACTTCTTAAAGTATAAAAAGCAACACGAACTATGCACTGAATTTTTTCTATTGCCTCAAAAACATTATATTAGGGAAAGCAGCGTATTTCCATACCATGAAATTTAATGTAGAGAGCCTGTAAATGTATTAGCTTTCATGCATCTGTGCAGTTCTTTGTATTCTTATGAAATCATAGGAGTGAATTTGTGTGAATGTGTGTGCGACTGAATGAGTGTGTGGGCCTGAGGCAAACTCAAATGAAGCAACACTCAGCAGACACCGCCGCAGGCTAACTTCACATGAGTCTCTTTTGACACACACACGCCTAACCATGGCTTGATGGTAGGTTTCACATTCATTTTGTCAACTGGAAGCTAACAACCACCAGCATGCTGCAGAGAGGGAGGTTAGGCTTTATCAGAGCCCTTCTGAACATCTCTACATTTCAAGTGTGAGGATATAAGGCCGTTAGCCTGCCACTGTGTCACCGAACAATATCTTCATCCGACCAGCTCTTTATTACACACTTGCAGGTTGTGTTGCGTAACCCAAGACGCTGCACTTGTGTGCATTTGTTTACCTGTCCGAAAAAACCGACGGTCTCTCCAGGCAGGTAACTGAGAGCCAGACTGCAGTCTGACGATGCCGAGAGGAGGAGGAGCTTATCGCCATGTAAACACATCTCCAGGTGAGTCACGTGGTCGAGGTGTGGATGGAAACTAGATAGCAGTTTTGGGAGTTCTTTGTTGACTCCTTCACCTGGTGTGAGGCAATAATACTGAGGGACAGAGGAACAGATCATTACACAACCGCTGAGCTTTGCCACCCATAGTTACCGTTGCTAAGCTTTCTGTTTTCTCAAATCACACAGCAGGTTACAATGGCAACAGTGGCAGATTTACCACTCTCATTACCACTTCTTGTGTGTTTTATTGGTGACCATAGATTTTGCAGGCAGACATAAAAAATGACTAAAAGACTGAGGTACTTAATTCATATAAAACTGTATGTAGTACATAATAGGTGATTATGGTATGCCAAAAGACTGAGCGAGAAGTGTGTTGTGCATTCTATGGAATGAAACCTCACGAGCTGATGATTTATGTAGAAGCCTGAAATAAAGGAAGATCCTTGATATTGCACTGCAGAAAAGCTAGTTAGTGCTAATATTACAGTGCAGTAAAATTCTGGAAAGATCCGACTTTTTGGAGATGATTTGTGTTGTGAATATTTTTGCTTAACATAGATAACAGAGTGAGATGAATGCTTTTTTCAAAGAAAGACTTAGGGCTATGTTTAGCTGGGGCTCCTGAAGAGTAAACTTTTTAATGACAGAGCTGCCGCAGCTGGAGTGTACAATGAAAGTGAGATCCCACTGTAAAAGGTGACTTTTCCATGATAACCTGTATAACCCACAAAATCATATTAGCTAATGATGTCCTCTTTGGCCCAGTTAGCATTTCCAAGGTTGGTAGTAACCTAGCTGGCCATGAATGCCTCTATTGGCATCTTAAAGCAGATGAAGTACATTTTTAATCAATGTCTGACATTTACTGCTTTGGCTTGTTAGTTTTGCAGAGTAAATAAAACCTCTAAACTTATAACCTGTTAACTGTAACTTATAAGTTACAGTTTATACACCTGGTGAATCATAGTTTGGTATTTTAATCATTTATATTTGGTCTGTTGAAACTGAAATGAAATGCTTTTATAAAGTGATGATATTGCATAAAGGCTACAAATGGATCATTTTATCCATTCTTAGGTGGTTGCTTGGCAACATTATAATTACATTATTATTTATAGAACCTTTTCAGATAGGAGGAGTTTCATGTGTTACAATAAGATAACACTGAGGGTACCTAATAACTACAAGATTTAAGTTCAGTGTTAAGAGTTACAATTTAAGCACAAAACATTTATTTTCAGTTACTTTAAATACTTTAAACTTATTTAACTAAGTTGCACATCATTTTAAGGTGACACCTGCGACTGACCTGAGAAATGTCTGGGTGCACAACTCTGTACTGTGCAATCATGTTAGTTATCCAGCTGATTCTGAGGTGCGCTCAAAACTAGCCGAAGGGACAGAATTTCCACCAGAGCACTGAGATTGCCCAGCTTCAACTATATATACATAAATCTCCATAAATTAAACTGGAAGCCAATTGAGATGTACCCATCTGAATTCATCCCCTTATAAACTGTGACAGAGAGTTGAGCTCTGAATATTGTGGCAATAATACCCGAGAGGGTGTTCTTTTACTGTGATTATGAGCATGACAGTGATGCAGCTATGCTTCATACTGACGGCACGATCCAAGTCTTCATAACAAGAGTCAAAAAGTCGAAAGGCCTCTCTGAGGTATGAAAACTCTTCAGTGACCAAACGCGTGGGACATTCTCGTGTGATGAACTGAATCTCAGTGGACGTGGATGACATTACTGATGATATGATGACTCCTCATCACTCCTCTTCTAATCGAGGTGGTCTACAAAAACAATATCTTTTGTTTAAAAAAGGAATCAATTACAAATCTCATCCATTTCTAATGGCCTCTACTGCTTTAAAATAATATTTAAAAAAAAAATAAAGAGGATGGAGGCATTACCTCTCTCCACTAATCCATCAGGGGAGATTTTCTAAATGATTGACTGTCTTCACTGTACTCCAGCAAGCTGCTGAGACATCACAATGACAGGCAGGGCTGTCATTTTCAGAGTGAACAACACGCTTTGATTTAATGGAAATATTCAGGGTCCACTCTTTCTTCACTGTCTATTAAAGTCTGCCTCTTGATCTCTGTCCCACCCTCGGGCTCTGTTTTCATCAGTTTCCGTCATTTTCTCTTTTTTACTCCTTTTTTTTTTAACACCACAATATACAAAATTGTGCACAAACCCACCTTCACGTCCCATATCTTGACTGTCCCTTCCCTGTCAGCTGTGGTTAAATATTCTCCACAGGGACTGACAGCTATTACAATAGATCCCAGGTCCCCTTCGTGGGCTGTGAACTGTCCTACCAGACGGGCGTGCTGGGTGCTCCAGAGCCTGACCGTACCTGAACCCCCGCAGGACACCAAATCTGCAGCGCCTGATGAAAATGCAGAAATAGAAATGGCTGCAATAACCAGAGGCATCGGTTATTTTAGACGTGTGTTTGGACTAGATTTGAAAAAGAAAACGCATGCTGTGGTAGCAACACCACAAGTACCAATAGGAGAAAGTCAAACAGAGTTACAATAAGTCAGTTAGAGTGTACCCATGTGGTCTAAAATGTAATCAAAATCAATTATGGATTAAAAATGCTCATATTGTTGCTAAGAGGGAATCTCAAACATCCACGATACTGAAAAAAGAAAAAAGAAAAAAGATCAGCAACATATTTCATTAAGCACTGAAATAGTCGAATTAGTAAGAAATCTGTACAAGTTCTGACTGACAATGAGATTTTTTTGGTCAACAATAAACATGGCCAGGGCTTCCTTTGTTTAGTTCTCCCTGGATCTGGCAACCCATAGAAAAAACTGCTCCACTAACATCATCAACAGAGCCACATACCTCATTGCTACAGCAAACCCGAGCAGCAGCAGCAGGCACAGAGGCCGATCATGTTTTTTTTGTTTTTAAAGCACCTAACAGCTACAGCTCAAAGCAGCAGCAGCTACTTAACAGCAAGAATAAATCTAAATGGATTTAAAAAGTCAAGGGACCAGGGAATTTTTTAAATAAATACAGGAAAGTAAACTTTGGCAGGAAAGTAGTTACAAATATCGAAAACTTGCTACATCAAAGGATCAGTGATGTGCAAATGCTGTACAGTATTTCCACACAGCCTTACTGTATTTGAAATATGTAAACACCAGACACACAATCTGTGTAAAACATCCTTAAAAAAATAAAAAAAAATAATAAATGCAAGGCTATATATTCAGCAGATCTGGCATTTTAAAATGTAGAACGCCTTTAAAGTTACTTCATTGTTTGCATCAGCTTCCGCTCTTGGTTTTGCAGGCACGTCAAACTACAACACTTTTACAGCAAGCATGCTTAAAGAGGCTCACAGCAAGAAGGTGAAATTAGCTGATTTGCAAATGCGATGGCTTTATTGTTAGGAGAAAAGTTAGAAAAGTCAAAATACGGAATTTGTTTGGGTGAAAATAGTTTTCTCTCCACTCTCTCTCAGCTGACATTTAATACTGAGCTGAGGCTGCCCCACAGCGTTACACAAACATACAGCCTCCCACATCTTTTAGGACTTACTTTAAATAACACTTTAAAGAGTCCACAATCTATACCTGCAGTTGTTACAGATGTGCGTCCTGGAATGAAGAACAGTCTGGTGATGGCATCGCAGCTCTCAGAGTCCTCTGTCATTCAAAAGCACGTTGAGAAGTGAGAAGTGGGGAAACGACCCACAGTGTCAGAGTTGAGAATGAGGAACAGAAGAAAAAGCAAACAGAAACAGGCAAAAAAATTAACTTAATTTCTCCTTGTTTTAAAGATTTTTGGAAGAATTAACGTCTAATAATAATTACAGAAACGACGGTTTGAATGTGTTTGCAGCTGCTGTCGTTGAAAGTGGCACCTTGCTGCTTCTTGCAGTCTTCCCCTTCGTCATGTGGCCGGAGTTTCCTCAAAGCTTTTTCTGTGCTGCTGTTCCACACTATGATCTCGCCATGGTAGCTTCCTACTCACATCAGAAGAGGGACAAAACACAGAGGAAGAACTTGGCAACAACAAAAAAAAATCCTTCTAAAAACTGTACTTTGCTTCATGGCAGTATATAGTAAACTTCACCGCCTGTGCTTTACAAGCTCTTGTGCTTACCAAGTGTCTTCACAGTAAAAGAAATACAAAGACTATACACACACACACACAAAAGAAAACTTTTTATCAACACACACTTACTTTCTTATCTTGCTGCTGAATCATGCAAGCTGGCCACTAAAAACTTCTCTAAAGATAAAGTTCAACATCTGTCCCCAGCTACCATCTGTTCCAACACTCAACCCCTAACTTTTATTGCAAGAAGAAGTGCTTTTGAAGTAATCTACATTATATATAAGCAAGAGCACATGCATGGCAATGTGTTTGTCAAAAACGGCAGGAATCTCATCAGGTCGCTCAACAGTCCAACAGCAGGACTTAATGAGATGTGTGAGGAGTGTGTTGGCTATGGGAGGTGAGTGTGTGTGAGCAATAGGAGGTATAAAGTTTATGAGAGTGCCAGTCTGCTGCATTATTCATGCAGCCCAGGGCCAGCTTCTGTATTTCAAGTGACTTTTATCATGTCCTGTGTGTGTGTGTGTGTGTGTGTGTGTGTGTGTGTGTGTGTGTGTGTGTGTGTGTACGGCTGAGACAGAGAGGGTCAGAGAGAATGAGAGCAGATTTCTGCATCATCTACACAATGTTGAGCTTTAAGATGTAGATGCTTTAATCCCCCTCATTAATTTTTAAAATCACTTTGATGCACTTAGCCTGCACAATTTTGACAACATACATAGAGTACACATCACAGTGCATATTTAAACAGGGGATAATAACAAGAAATACAAAGACGTACGTACACAAAATAGTACTACACAGATTTATCGCTGCACAGCAATGTGCAAAAGTCTTGAGCCGAAGGACAGACGCAACAACATTGTCATCCCCTATGTAGCTGGTGTATCAGAGAAACTCAGGAAAATTTTTTCCAAGCATGACATCCCGGTGCATTTCAGACCCAGCAACACGCTCAGACAAAAACTGGTTCACCCGAAAGACAAAACGCCAAAACACAAACTTAACAATGTGGTGTATGCTGTACAGTGCAGCGAGGAATGCCCAGACCTCTACATTGGAGAGACCAAACAGCCACTTCACAAGCGCATGGCACAACACAGAAGAGCCACCTCCACAGGACAAGACTCAGCAGTCCATCTGCATCTTAAGGACAAAGGACACTCTTTCGAGGATGCCAATGTTCACATTTTGGACAGAGAGGACAGATGGTTTGAAAGAGGAGTGAAAGAAGCCATCTATGTCCACTGTGAGCGACCATCTTTGAACAGAGGCGGTGGTTTACGACACCAACTCTCTGCCATCTATAATCCAGTTTTGAGATCCCTTCCCAGACACCTTAACGCCCACTCACATCCTGGGCCATCTGATCTCAGGAATTCGCATGATAAGGTGGGGCCAGGTTTCACAATGAACTCACCCGAAACTCTGGCTGATTGGGACCCACACCCAGTTTCACACCTTGGCTCAGGCGATTAGAGGATCATCAGGGGGTCCTTTTGTCCCTCTGTGGGGGGTTACTCCCACTAGGTTTATATCTGGGACTCTCCACCATTTGACCTTAGAACTGAAGAAGCTTCTTGGATGAGAGGTGAAACGTCTTCAAGCAACTTAAAGAAGTCCAGACGCTTTTCTTTGCAAGCTCCTTTGACAACATATAATAAGAAAAGCGTTTGCACGGTTTGTCATTTTAACAAACTCAAAAGTCAGTATTTGGTATGACCACCTTTATTCTGCAACACAGCCTGAACTCCCAGTGGTGGCAGAAAGAGTTTGCTTAAATGGATCATCAAATGGAAGGGCTGTGTTTGGGATATTACTGGAGGAGAATGGGTTGTCTGTCTAACGTTGCTTACAGGCTTCGCTCCATTAGCAGCAGTGATGGTAGTAGATGTACCGTAGTGTCAAGAATAGCTCTAACACCTGTAGTCTGAACTGCAGCTCTATACTTTAGTACTATTATACTTCTGACTGCAGTGTCAGAGTTAGTAACAGCAGCAGTGACTGGCAGACGTACAAGTGCAAAAACTTCTAGTCACCCTTCGTTGCTTATATTTTGCTCAGAAAATGGGAAATGGGTGGTGATTTATTAAAATGTATGCAAACTGTCAAATGCTGAAAGTCAGTATTTGTTATGACCACCTTTATTCTTCAACACAACCCTAAATCTCTTAGGCAGCTTTCTTGTCATTTCTTTAAGGTGTCTTCAGGAATAGTTCTCCAGACTTCTTAACGGACATTCAAAGCTCTTCTTTGGACGTCACCTGCCTTTTGTTCCGCTCTCTGTCCACAGGATCTACACTGCTTCGCTAATATTGAGGTTCAGGCTCTGGGGAGACTGATAGAGCTTAACTGTGTCCTTTTCTATCCAGGAATGCTTTTAATACTTTGAAATGTATAGATTGAAATGTATTGAAACTCATTGTCAGCAAATAAAAATGAGAACTAATCAGAACTAAATAAGTTTTGCATTAAAATGAGTTTGGAAGTGAGTGAACTGATCGGTAGTAATCTGCAGTATGGTTAGATGTGCACATTTGATCTGCCGCCAAAAAACAGGAAGGGGGAAGCTCCCGGATAAAGTGTAAAGCTTTGTAAAGTGTGTGGAGAAACTCTCACCGGTAAAAACACAACAACTGTTATACGTTACATTTTAGTTGATTGAGTGAACTGTAGATTTAGTCTACAGTTGATTCATGTTATTTGGTTGACTAAAACGAAATCAGAAATAGCTGTCAAAGTTAATACTGGTGTTAATTACCTAAACTGTTCATGAAAGAGCCCAGAACATGTGTCACAGATGGCTGTAGGCACTCACTGTGCTACGTCTCTCCTGAACTTTCCCAAACATACTGATGATTATTTGTCTTTGTAGATGTAACTAAAGAAACCAGAGGAAAATGTGTTTTTGTGACAGGTTGCTAGTAACAAAGACAAAAGACAATTTTAAAATGATTCTTTGTTAAGTGGTCTAAGTGTAGACACAACACCGGTTCTCTTAGGTTTGATGCCTTTTTAGGCTTGAGTGATTCATAGATCAGATCAAAAAACAAAACAGTCCTCTGAATGTGGTCGGGCACAAGGATGGGACTAAAAATGAATGAAAAAGCAGCCAAAGTCTAAAGAAAATTTTTAAAAGATCCTCAGAAATCCTGGACAACTATTGCTCAAGACCACTTTAAACATTTACAAGAAAGTCTTGGTCCTTGGAGCAAAAATATAAAGAAATGAGGGGTTGCCCGAAACTTTTGTTCAGTTTTGTAAAACATGATTTTGTTTTTAAAAAGATTGATTGATTTGGCAGAAACAAAGATGTTATACTCATTGTATTTTTGGCGAATACGCTCAAGCCCACAAATGGCTACAGAGGTCAGATGAGTTTTTAGCTAGTTTTTACCATTACAGAGCCTGTGCTACTGCTGTCAGTGCCAGCATGGAGCCAGTTTGCCTTGGATGCCTTGTGAGAGCGATCTCACATTTTGACAGGTTTGACAAGTAATTTCCTTGATATGAAAATCATTGCAGACAGAATCTGTCTGGTACATCAGCCAGTCATTAGTGAATTTCTCGCGGCAGCGCCTCCCATGTCTATTAAAATCAGCTTTGGGCCCAGCAAATTTGTGGTGCCAGCTTTTTTTTTTTGGTGGAAGTCCATGGAACCTGTTCCAGTTAACCCACCAGCACAATGTCTGTGGTAAAAAGTTCTGACTCCACCGAGTCATTTTTGAACTTCCATTCCTCTGCCTCAGTTAATGCCAACTCAAGCGGCATCACTTGATTTAATATCAGTGATATTAAATATTGTTTACCATTTTCCCCCCAACAGATTTATATATACACAAAAAGAGCCCCCTCTGCTCAAAAAAAAAAAAAAATTTCATTGTTGTCATCACGTCCTTTGATTTCTGTGCTTGCTATTTGTATTTGTTGCAAAACATTTTGGCCATTCATCAAACTTCAGATTAGTTGGTGACTGGTTGCTTGGAAGTTTTTCATTCACAAAGGATTAAGGGATTCAAGGAAGGAAAGAAAAGTGAAAAGGGGGGTTAGACTGAAGGAGATACACAGAACCCATATATCCTGCTGTGTTTGTGTGCACCGAAATGCACGTGTGTGTGTGCGCGTGCGCGTGCATGTGTGTGTGTGTGTGAGTGAGAAGTCAAGCAGAACCTAGCAAACACTGAATATGGATGAGGAGGCCTCAGTCCCCCATCAACCCAATGTTCCTGCTACAACTTGATTCAACTCGAGACCCAAACTAACAGATGCGTGCGCACACACACACATACACACACACTCACAAAAATAATATACACAAACACAGACACGTGCACCGTCTCCTAAGCAGGTGCGAGGCCAAATAGAACTTTAAATTGACTTTTCTCACTGGTGGCCATGATGCCACCACTGCCTTCACTCGGCGGCACAAGCGCATAACTTGGCAGCACCGATGCTTTGATGTGAAAAGAGCATTACTCACTACAACCCCGAAGAAATATGCAGCCAACTGAAACTAATGCGTCATCGCTTTTAGATGCCGCCTTTTTGCTCGGTGGATTTGTCAAAGAAAGAATTTGCAACTCCAAAAAAAACAAAAGTTAATGTAGAAAATAGCGCACAGTTCTCATGCACCTTTTATTTTAATGTGCGAGAAGATAAGCGTGGAAATGCAGGAAATAGCAATACGAATGCGATTCACCCATTTTTTTCCTTTACTCCCTCCCTTTCATTCATTTTTTTCTCCATCCCTTTCATATGCCCAAAGGCCAGGGGAGGAGAGTAACACAGAGGATATTCAAATGTAGGAGGAGTTAGGAATGAATTACACCATTTTATGAATTTTTTGGACAAGATGTTAGCAGATGTGGATATCCCAGCACCTCTGATGATGAAAAGCTGTTGCAAAGGTTATGTTTTTGAATCTTCCCCCCAGCTTAACGCTTTCTCCTTCTAGCCGTTAAAGCACTGAAGCTCAAAATATAAAAAATGTGATTTATGAGGTGACTCATTTGCATTCAGCCTGCACATTTCCAAAGTTTTTTCTTAAAATATACAAGCACCCTCCCTGCAGCCATACAACATGCACGCACAGACAGACACATAGATGCTCGAAAGGCAGAAACACATTCATTTCACCCTTGCTTCCACTGCGAGAGTTCTAATAAACATAATTCAAATTGGGCATTTTGAATTAAATTGGAGGTGGAGGGAGCAGTGCAATGCGGGGCTATGTGTAGATGGAGGGGGGTGGGCAGTCTAAAGTACAGAGATTAGATAAAAAAAATGGATAAATAAATTGATGGCGGGGGACTGAGCACGGGGAAAGAAATTGCACAGCGAACTTTGAAGAAGTTTCCAAGTTTCTAAAGTAGCTCCTGAATCGTGCTTTTTGTTCTAGCTCCAACTATTCATTTCCTTCCAAACCATTTCTCCCTCCAGCTTTGAGAATACCCCTCTTATCTACCTTTCCACCTCCATCCCTCACTTTATCGCTCTCAGTACTTATCTGTGGGCTTGATCTGTCTCAGAAGGCCAGAGAGGGGCCCTGCAGTTTGTGTCTGCACGCTGCTCACACAGACTGGTAAACTGCAGCTGAACTTTCAATACGTGAGCCAAAGTGATACAACTTTACAAAGTGAAGAGCATACTGGGGCAAATTGGGTGCAGAGTGTTTGCAGTTTGAGGGTTATACAAGTGGACCAGTGGCTGGAGGATTGCCAGTTCAATCCCCCAGGCAAAAAAAAAAAAATCTTAGAAAGTGATGAGTACTGAGGGGTCATGCCGACATTTCAAAGCAAGCTGTCTTCACATGCTAAAAACCATGACAGAGCCGTTAATTCTATGTATTTGTCCATGTAAAGAGCAGCTACTTGGTTTCTCTTTTAATGATGGCTGTTAATGATGGTGTGACAGCTTGGCAGATGTGATCAAGTGCCAAGGAGGGAGGGGGGATTGCAAGGTCCACAAGAAGCTTAGAAGCTTCTTTTTTTTTTTTAAATCATGCATAAAAACTTGGAAAAAATGTTTTTGAAAAGTTCACATGAACTCGAAGAAGTGGGATGAAAAATAGAGTGATTGGAAGACGAACGCTCCTCGTCTGCTCTTCCATTAGCCAGAGGCGCCCAGTGTTTCTGCATTTTAATAAGCGCTGGTGTGATTTTAGGACACGAGTCATTTGCAGCTCACGCCGCTGAGTCCATGCACTAATCAGCTGCCAAATCATTTTGATGGTAACGCCGGAAAATGTTCTTCAGTGTTCAGGTTTTTTGTTTTGTTTTTTCACGTTTTGTGTAACAGTTCTACCCTCAGTGAGGTACTGAGTAATTGTTTCTCCAAGGACTCAGGGAGGGAGAGGCAGAGAGAATCAGAATTAGAAAATACGAGTATAGAAACAGAATGTGAAAAGAGAACTGCTTGTAACTTTTTTATTGGGAATAGATCTTGAGCTTATTGGATGAACCAGTGCAGAGCCTGTTTAAACAGTGCCTGTAAGAACAGGTTGATTGCGTAGCCTCCAGTATTAACACTTGAGTTTTCTTAATGTCGTCATCTAACCATTTCATCCAAACACCAATTCTGCAGATTTAGAAAACTACAAACTTAAATTAGCTGTCGCCCTTATTAGGTATAACCAGACTGTTACATTACAGTGGGTTTTAATGTGGCTCCTGCTGATTGTTAGTTTTAAAAACATTCATTCACTGATTAGATGGTTAATGATTTTTATTAATTAATTAATAATGAGAATTCAGAGTGAAATTCTTAACATCTGTCACCTCTGGCTCACATCCTCTTGTCTTTTTGGCAGTGACACCATCTCCAAACCCTGCATCCACCCTCCACTCACTCCACCCTGTCTGCACTGTCTTCTTTACTGCTCTGTGAGTGCACTGAGTGGCTTTGGATGGTTAGAAACTCAACCACCTTCACTACCTCTGCCCTTTGCAGGTTCAGCTTTGTATAACCCACACGTTATGCCATTAATAATTGTGAATGTATGTTTTAGGTGTCTTATCAGAAAAATATCAGTGTTCAAATACAAAAAAAGTTGTTTAATTACTGCATGTCGCAGAAAAAAAGCATCATAGCTGACTGTTGGTCACTAGTCAACATTCTAGTATCTTTTTCGTTCACTATTAGTTGCTTAGTTTATTTATAAACTGTAAATCTGTTGCACCTGCATTTGTTTGGCGAGGGACAGGGGCAAAAGCTTTTGACCACCTACACACTGACATCAGTATGAGCTTTGATGGCGTTCCATTCTAAATCCATAGGCATTAATGTGGAGTCCGTCCCACCGTTGGAGCTTTAATAGCTTCCACTCTTCGGGGGAGGTTTTCTGCAAGATTTTGGAGTGTATCTGTGGGAATCTCAGCCCATTTATCCAGATCATTTGTGAGATCAGACAGCTGCTGGAGGGGAAGTGCTTGGCTTGCAGTAATTCTAGTTCATCTCAGAGGTGTTTGATGGGGTTGAGATCAGGGCTTTGTGCGAGCCAGTCAAGTTCTTCTACACCAGGCTCATTCAACCATGCCTTTATGGACCTAGCTTTGTGCACTGGGGCATAGTCACGCTGGAAAGGAAAAGACCCCACCCAATCTGCTGACACAAACCTGGAAGATTGCAATTTATTGGGCAAAGGATCAATTTAACCAATGAAGGAAAACTGCTTTCAAAAGATAGTTTCTGTTTTTTATGAGAAACACTCGAGTGAAAAGCACACACGAGGGGAAAAAAGGGTTATGCTTGTAAAATTATGTGGTCCTCCAAACTGCTAGATGTCAGTCTCTGCCAGTCTCATATGACAATCTGAAGTGGAAAAAACTTATGAAACAAAATCATAATCAGCCAATCAAAAGTGCAATCTGTGCATTTCTAGTTTTTTCACTTAAAAAAAACAAACACGGGCGCGTCACTGCAACTCCCCCTGGCTTCTGCTCCGCAGCTGCTGAGTGAGCCCTCATCTGGGACTCTCCTCAGCTCTTACTGGAACAGTGGCGCGGCTGCCCCTCTGTTGGTCTTCCTTGGTCTCTTGTGTTCTGGGGGCCTCTGGATGTCTGGAGTTTTGATCTCCTCCATA